CACAGATAGCAAACATGCAGGCAGGACAGCACAGGCAGCTGCTGAGTTTGAGCTGTTTGAACTCAGTTGTACATAACAAGGGATCCAGGGATCCGGTGCTGACAGCTGGAGGTGAGGTGCTGGATGGGTTAGCAGCGTCGGTATGCACTGAGGGCAAATGTTGACTGTCTCTAAGCAGGAACGATTGCAGTTATTTATATCCTCCTCATCAGTCACCCTCTGCTCCTCACACGGGGAACAAAAAGACAGCCGGGAGAAGAAGGTGAAAAACCTTTGAAACATCTAAATACCAAAAAAAACAACAACACTGGTTGGCTTACATTTAAACAGAGCTCCAAAATGGTAAAACTTTCAAATCAAGTCTTTTAAAAATGATTTCTCTTTACTTTTTATTTTTATTTTTAGCGACCCTAGGTCAAAATGACCGAGCGCTATGATTGCCACTACTGCAAGGAGTCCCTGTTCGGGAAGAAGTACGTCCTTCGAGAGGACAATCCCTACTGTGTGAAATGTTATGAAAGCCTGTACTCCAACACCTGTGAGGAGTGCAAGAAGCCCATCGGCTGCAACACCAGGGTCAGAGATGTTCAGAATTACTGCACTTAGTGCACAAGATGTGATGAAGCATCAATCAGCCTGGTCTGATCTGTCCAAATGTTCCTGCAGGATCTGTCCTACAAGGACCGCCACTGGCACGAGGACTGCTTCAAGTGCTTCCAGTGCAAGCGCTCTCTGGTGGACAAGCCCTTCTCCACCAAGGATGACCAGCTCCTGTGCACCGAGTGCTACTCCAACGAGTATTCTTCCAAGTGCCATGAGTGCAAAAAAACCATCATGCCAGGTGGGAATAAAATACCTCAATCTAAGTTATAACAAACAGTTTCATTAACAGTGGTTCTTGATGGAAGGATTGGTGATCAGTGGTCACATCAGTACAGCAACTATTAAAGGAATTAACTGTGTTTTTGTTGTATTTTTACCTGTTAAGTACCGAACAGCTAAAGAAGAACAAATATTCAAACACTCAGTTTAACTTCTCATTTGTGTTTCTGATAATGCAAGGCCAAATGCTGCATACAAGTACACTTTAGATCATAGTTTATTGTAAAATGTGTATGTTAGTATTTTAATAACAAGAGGTTTATCTTAAAAAAAGACAAAAAATATAATTTCATACATATTTGATCATATAATTTACTAAACCCAGTTGAAGCGRAGTCATGTGGTTCTCAAAGTTGGGGTCATGATCCAGTTGTGGGTCATGAAGCATCAAGTTGGGGTCTTTAGATAATCTCCAGAAATTTAATTTAAAAAAGACAGATGATGTGATTTTTTCCCTTAAATTAGTACAAAATTACATAAAATAACTATAATAAATAAAAGCTGTTGGGATTGTCAATAAGCCCCAGTTGTTTAAGATTTCTTGATAAAGTTTTTGTACTCAGATTGGTTATATTTTATTATTTGAGATCATGAATATTTTGTCAGTCAGTAGGTGAAAATTTTGGGAACCATTGATTTAAAATAATTTTTTTAAAACTGACTCTATGTYGGCCTTGTTTCTAAACTCTCACAAATATCTTTGGTGTTTTTTTATCTGGTTCTTATTGACATCAGCCTGATGAGGATGTCTATTGTACTCTATTTTAAGATTATAGATCAAGATGATTAGTTCTATCAGACTATAAGAGAAATACAATTTTCTTCCACGGTAGTTTAAATAAGAGAACTGATTGATTTAAGGCCAAAAGACAATTATAAAAAGAAAATCAAGATAAAATAAATATGCCTATGAAAGAAACACTGTCTGCCTCTTGTGATTTTAGCTCGTTTGTAGAGATGATGCTGGTCTTCTATAATGTGTACTGACTCTTCTAAATGTGACACATTATTAGTTGTGCAGTTCTTCTAAACCAAAAAGTTGTTTTTTGTAACTGTAATCATCATTGCTTTTTTTGTCCAATAACATCAATTTTACAATTTCCTTAAGGCTCCAGGAAAATGGAGCACAAGGGCAACAGCTGGCATGAGACCTGCTTTACCTGCAAGAGATGCCAGCAGCCAATCGGCACCAAGAGCTTCATCCCTAAGGACAACCAGAATTTCTGTGTGCCCTGCTACGAGAAGCAGTTTGCCATGCAGTGTGTGCACTGCAAGAAGGTACGACGTCCAGCTCTGTTTGAGTCTTCCGAGTAACTGATGTTCAACATGGCTCTATCTATTCAAAAGCATTTATATGCATTATTGGAATATAATGGTGGAAACTTTTCTTTCAACTAGCCCATCACTACTGGTGGGGTGACCTACCGTGAGCAGCCCTGGCACAAGGACTGCTTTCTGTGCACCAGCTGCAAGCAGCAGCTTTCTGGCCAGAGGTTCACGTCGAGAGACGACTTCGCCTATTGTCTAAACTGCTTCTGCAACCTTTATGCCAAGAAGTGTGCCTCCTGCACCACCCCAATCAGTGGTAACCCTATTTTTGTCTACTTGAACCTGAAAAGTATAGCGTCTCAGCAGTTTGACAGACTGGATTTGTCTTTGCCAGGTCTGGGAGGCAGCAAATACATTTCCTTCGAGGAGCGCCAGTGGCACAACGACTGCTTCAACTGCAAGAAGTGCTCCGTGTCCCTGGTTGGCCGTGGCTTCCTCACCGAACGCGATGACATCTTGTGCCCCGAGTGCGGCAAAGAYATCTGATTCATCCTGGCAGATAAATCTGACACGGTGATTTCATTACAACCAGGAAATGGCAAAGATACAGTGAATACTTTCAGAGCACAGCATTTTTAGTGTTGCCGCAAATGTAAACCRTTTTACGCTACGAATTTCAGACTACTAATATTGGTATTTGAATTTACAAAGTTTATTCAAGTTACAATACACACTCCTGGAAAACAAATATATATTTCTACTAAAACTATGCATGAATCTAAAGAGTTGCTAATGAAAGAAATCGTAGTTGCTGGTAGATATTGTATGATGCACTCTGGAATAAATCTACAACGTTAATGCAAACTATAAGTTGAATGTTTTGTTGGCTGAACAATGTAAAGTTGATTTAAAGTGTTAATTTGTTTTGAGAGTATGACTTTTACAAGCAAGCTAAAATCTAGCAATCCCATTAACTAAAATAGCAGATAATCTTACTAATTTACCTTCGAAAAGAAGCTTTCTAGTAGGTATATGACTTTAAAAATAATCCCTTACATTTTTTTTTAAATTGAGCATATCTCTCCGCTGGCTTCTGTAACTTCATGAAATCTCTTTAAATATTTGTTTCTTTTTAAATATTGGCTGCCATTTCCAATACATTACTCCAGTCCAATAWATATTGAGTTTTCAAACCAGCACACTTTTAAACAAAGCTTGTTGCTAGCCTGGTAAAATAATAAAAATAAACATATATAAAAAAAATCATCAAATTTCAACAAACTATGCATCCCTTTGAAGCTTTAGAGATGTGGAATCTGCAAATACCTCATTATTG